AAAAACACACACACACACACACACACACACACACACACACACACACACAAGCACTTTTGTCTAGTCCCTGTTTACCCTTCCAGAGATAACACAAATATAAGAAAAGCAAATACAGTCTTTTCAGATCTTTGACAAGAAAGGTGGTACATGTGTGCATCAGGCACTTTTTGCAGTGATGACAGAGAGTGCCTTTTCACTGTGGCTGCCCAGTGCACCAGCATATGGAGGCCACCCAATGCCCTGTCACATGGAAGGGCCATGGGTATTTCACCAGTGCTCTGTACAAAGACGTTTGCAGGCATTGGAGACAAAATGTAAAATAAAATCTCATCCAGAACACCCCTCCACAAAGGTAGAAGAGAAAGAAAACGGTTTTATAACTGAATAAACATTAAGCATATTGCAGACAATCCACGAAAGAGTTTGCAAAGGCAGAAAGACACATCAGTCTTAAACACAACCAGGCAGGCACAACCCCTTGCATGTGTGTTCTCAATGGCTTACAGCACCATGTGTCTCATGGCTCACTCCGAACTCCCCCGGTCAAGGGAGCAGCCCTGTGTGCTACTAATGGTCTTTATCCAAAGGAAACAAACTCGTATCTTCATGATAGGCCATCGATCGTTCAGCAGCTTGGAGCCATGTGGGGAAGAAAGCCTACCCCCTCCCACAGGCGAGGGTGATAAGCTGCTTTCTTCCTTGGTGTTTACCGTCCAGAGAGGTGACTCCCAGGTCCTCAGGAAACATTCCAGCATTATAAAACTGGCAAGACACTCGCTCAGCTCTTAGAGGGCAGAGGATTTACAAGTTTTCTAACATTTACTCTATGAGTATTTACTCTAAAAGAAGGTGAGGGGGATGTTCCTCCCGCCCCCCCGTTTTTAAAAAATTGTAACAGGCAGAATTAAATGTTTTGTATTTGCGCTAACAAGGGCATTTGAGTTGTTTCCAGTCATTCCCTCTCAGAGCGAATGTCGGAGTAGATAATGGCCAAGGGGACACTTTCCCGGTGCTGATGTGGAATGCGCCTGGCTTGGTCCTACACATGCACACACAGGAAGAAGATTCATAGGTCATGTGGAGCATGGCGCCACCCATGCTAACAATCTCAGGGCCTGGATGGAAGGGAGGATGATATCTGGAAAAGCCACCTCTCTGGTTTTGCTTTCTCATGCCATCCTCCGAAGTCTTTAGCCTTCAAGCTCAGGTGCAGAGTCAGCTGTCCTCAGACTCCTCAGCACATAACAGCTTCCCCTCCCAGGGTCCTTGTAAGGGTCCACTGAACTGATGCATGCTAAGTGTTTAGCACCACACAGGCAAACAGTAAGTGCTCAATAAGTGTCATTAAAAATCCAATTTCAGCCGGGCTCGGTGGCTCAGCCTGTAATCCCACGCCTTTGGGAGGCTGAGGTGAGTGGATTGCCTGAGCCCGCGGATTCGAGACCCACCTGGGCAGGCGAGACCTCATCTCTAAAATAAAATCAAAAAATTAGCCAGGCGTGGTAGCGCACATCTGTAATTCCGGCTACTCGGAAGGCTGAGTCGGAGGATCTCCGGAGCCCAATAGGTCGAGGCTGCGGTGGCCGGGAGCGGCCACTACACTCCAGTCTGGGCGACAGAATGAGACTCCAACTCCAAAAAAAAAAAAAAAATCCAGTTTCAAGGCTGACTCGAAACACGTGATGTTTCTACAGACCAAGTGACCAATGAAGGAAGCTCCCTGAAGAATAAGATCAGGGCTCCTGCCTCAGCCAGGTGTTGGCAGGGGGTGGGCTTTCCCACAGATGCCCTGCCAAGCTGGCATCTCGAGTAGGAAGGAGGCAGGCGAGGTCGAGCGGGGGATGCCTTCCAGATGGAAACTGCATCTGTGAAGGCCGTGGGAGTGGAGGCAGCAAGGTACATTAAAGTGCCCAAATGGAGACCAGAGTGGGGACCAGAGGCAAGGTGAGGGGAGGGGGCCTTGACTGCCAAGGTCATGGAGAGGTGGAAGGCTGAACTGGTCTGTATGACATGGAAAAGGACCACAGCAGATGCAAGCTGGCCCAGAGCTGCCGCAGCCTCCTAGGCAGAAGGCCCCACATTGATGAGTAGTGTCTTGGGCCGAAGTGTCACAGACCAAAAGGTTCCCTGTGGTCTCCTGAGTGCTTTTCAGGAGATCGGTGACCGCTTGAGCAAGGGAACTCTACCAACAAAGGACACAGTGGCCCTACCTCCAGCTCAGCCAGCAGGTGGGAGCAGGGAGGACATGAGGGTGGGAGCAGGCTGGGGCAGCCTTTGCTCCGAGAAACCGCAGCCAGCATGGCTACTAACACTGGTCACCCAAACCCCCAAAGTAGGGACCCCAAGGAGACCCCTCCCATTTACTGGAGTGGTATATTCTGGGAGACTTTTGGAACTGCCAGGAAAACAGAGCCAGAAGTGAGGCCTAAGCAGGGGACCCACCTCCTGGCTCCCTGGGACGTGTGACCTGGTCAGTCCTGTCTTGGGTCTAGGTGAGACCAGCCCTGCCCAGGAATCCTGGACCCGTGCCCAGTGTCTGCCACACTCCATTTCCCCTGCCTTGGGGAGAACCTTTTGTCTCGCAGGGCACAGTGCTCCAGCGGGCGTGGCTTGGCTGGTACCTGTTAAGACTTCAGACAGTGGCATGTGGGTTTGCATGTATGTCCAGACCCTGTGACGGGGCTGTGTGCTGTTGTCCTTGCCTCCAAGACTCAGCACTCCCTGAGGGAAGACAACTGTTGCCCTGAGAAGGGCTCAACGTGTATCAGCATTAGGCATAACTTCCTCCAGGAAGTCCATGCCCTCGTTCCTGGAACTTGTGAGTATGTGTCATTACATGACAGGAAGGACTTTGCAGATGGAATGAAGGTTCCAGGCTTTATTAATTAATTAATTTATTTATTTATTTATTGAATCGGGGTCTCACTCTGTCGCCCAGACTGAAGTGCCGTGGCACGATCATGGCTCACTGCAGCCTCAAACTCCTGGCGTCAGGCGATCTCCTCCCCACCCCCACCCCCGCCTCAACCTACCAATTAGCAGGGACTACAGGCATGCGCCACCCCGCCAGGCTTTTCTTTTGTTTTTGTTTTTGTTTGTAGGGATGAGGTCTTGCTATATTGCCCAGGCTGGCCTCAAACTCCTGGACTCAAACAATCCTTCTGCTTCGACCTCCCAAAGTGCTGGGATTATAGGCATGAGCCAGGCACCCGGCCCAGACTTTAAAATAGGGAGATTATTTTGGATTACCTGAGTGGGCTCCGTCTAATCACATGAGCCCTTAAAAGCAGAGAATTGCGGGAGATTCAGAGAAGGAGGTGGGAAGACAGAAATAACAAGAGGAGAAGTCGGGAAATTCCAAGGGTGAGGACTTGCGCCTGCCACCCTGGCCCTGAGGTGGGAGGGAC